ATAAATTATTACCATGAAATTATAAATTCTATAAGACACAAATTATTTTAAAAAAAATTTATTTATATAAATATAAATTTTTTTTTTAGATTATCGGAGTCACTAGTTTTCTCGATTTATCATTATTATACGGTTCAAATGATGAAACGGCTCAATCGTTAAGAACCTTTAATGGTGGCAAGCTAAAGTTTCAGTTAGGTCCTAATGATAAAATATNTTTAATGGTGGCAAGCTAAAGTATCAGTTAGGTCCTAATGATAAAATATTCTTAAGCAATGTTGAAAACCCAATGAAGTCATGTAATGGTCAAGTCGAAAAGCCAATTTGCTATACTGCTGGTAAGTAATTCCCAAAGTATAGTGTAATGCAGCAGTTAACATGATCTGATGAAAATAACATAAAACACAATCCATGCTAAATCAAGTAGAGTCGTAATTCATTTAGATTTCCAAAAAAAAATATTTGAATGCTTAAAACCAAATTTCTTAATACGCTGCACGCAGACAAATTTAAGATTAATTACATTAATGTAACTGAGTAACTGCTACAAATTATAAATATATACAGTTAATTACATGATTCGTTAGTAAAACTTTCGAAACTTTCAAAAAATACTCTTTGGCATTTTAATAAAAATGATAATAGGTGTATGTCAAACCCCAAAATAATAATCATAGTTTTTTACGTGATCTGATGAAAAAAAACAGTAGCATAATGGGGTCGTGGCATAATGGGACAAGTATAGATGATATCTGGCAGTGGTTATAATCACTATCATAAGAAATGCTTTGATCCAAATCTGTAGATAATGTTTAATTCTAAGGAATTAGTGGATATTTCCAAAAGTAAAATCGACTACTATTTTTTGTTCTACTCCAACTGCTATTTGCAAATATAATATAGGTCGCCGGTACATTTTTTTTTTTTTTTTGGACTTCTAGTACGTAAAATAAACTTTATTTTAACATATATTTAAATGACGCATAATTCCCGAAACATTTTCAAAAGTTATGTTGAAAAAGTTCTACTTTTTATACAAATCTTCAAGTTTTCAAAAAGTCAAAAAAACTTTTCTCAATTTTGAAGAGGCAAAATAATTAAAATAAGTATAAATTTATAGTTAATGTAAGTTAGATTCATGTAAATTTTATATTTATTGGTGGTCTCATTGCTACGAAAAACTCTTATAAGGTTTATTATAATAAACAAACAAAATTAAAATTTGAACACAAAAATAACATGTTTTTTTTAAATATGGCAGCTATTTGCATAAAGAAGATAAGTCAATTTTTTTTTAATTTATAATACGTAGCATAAGCTTTATTTTGACATATGTTTAAAGAACGCAGTATTTCCAGAACATTTTTAAAAGTTAAGTTGCAAAAGTTGAGTTTTGTAAAACAGTTGCTATTTTGAATTCCCTCTTGTGTGTAGTTAAAGGGTTGAATTTTCAAAAATATTATGTCAAATAAATGAAATTACATGAGGTTTCAATATAAAAAAAATTATTTTGATTTATTTTTCAATAAGTTATAGTAATTTTTAGAAAAAAAAAAGTGAAAAAAATGTCAACATTTTTCGATTTTAAAAATCATAATTTTTTGGGGTATTATCATCATTTATGGGGAACAAGAGAAAATTTTTTAATTTTTGAGGATAATGTCTTCAACTAGATACGATTTTTGATCTTTTGACGTATTGTTAAGAAATATCAGTCAAGCGACAACTGAGTAAAAGTAGTGACAAACACAAAAAAAAGTAAAGAAATATTATAAACACATCATGGTAAAATTAATACCTTCTCAGCTACGCATCAAAGCTAAAAAAATAAAACATAATCCATTCTAAATCAAGTAGAGTCGTAATTCATTTAAATTTCTAACAAAAAATATTTGAATGTTTAAAACTTTATTTAGTCTATATAGAAAAATAAATTTAATCTAAACAAGTCATTTACAAAATATAAACGAGACAGATTTTACTTTGTATGATAAAATGAACATAACACATAAATCATACAAAATAAAATATTGCTTCAAATCCAAATTCAAATAAATGATTTTTTAAACATAATCTGCCTTTTCTAAAAAAAAGTATGATATTAATGAAAACTGTAATTTTATTATAAAATTAGGAGATACACGAGTAAATCAACAACCCGGTATAGCCGTTTCCACTATAACTTTATTGAGGTTACATAACTTTCTTTGCGAAGAGCTCAATACTATAAATCCACAATGGGATGATGAACGGTTATATCAGGAATCTAGAAAAATGCTTATCGGCATGTATCAACACGTCACCTACAACGAATTTGTTCCAATAATATTAGGTAATATTATATACTTTATTTCATTAATATTTAATAATGGAGATAAAAATATGTTTAACAAAAGTGCAATGACTTGTTACTATTTAGTAGAAATTTTGTTCTTATTAAAAAGTGATATAAATAATTATTTAATTTAGAGAATTCATATATTACTAAATATAAACGTTATTTTATCATAACTCACTCAATTACTTATAGAATAACAGATTATTCGAAAAGTCCCAAGACTCACTCATAGATGGCAACTTTAACAACTGATCCTTATGATTGTTAGTAAGTACCAACCTATTCGAGATTATCGAACGGAGTAGTAAAAATATTGAACACAAAACGTTTGTTTACAAATATAGCTAAACCACCACCTCTAGATAAAAAAACTGATTTTTCGACACCAGACAATACGATAAGCTGAAAGATCATCAAAGCCAAGCTTAGAATTTAAAATAAACTTATATATTCAAGTTTCAGTTAATATAAAATAATATACATTACATAACGGTATATTAAAAATTAAGTTATTTAATTTAGTACGTAAATCACGGACATTTTGATAATATCTGAATAATTTAAATTTAGAATTAACATATTCATTGTTTTTTTTACATTTTGAATATTTTTTTTTCTTTTAATTTTCTAGAACTTTGACTTAGATTTTTGAACCAAAGTTGGATTGCTATGAATTTACTTTATCACCCGATTGTCTTTTTAAAACTAAATCATGTCACAACATTTACATTTTTTCTCTTTGACGCTGTGTTTGATTAGTGTTAATCCCAATATTTTTTCAATAACCTAATGAATGAAGTTTTAACTTAAATTTTTATATTAATGTTACATAATTGATGTTATTTAGTTTCATAAGTAAAGGTCGACTGTTTTTTAATATTTATTTTTTAACCAGGCGTTTAGCACTATCAATTTTTGCTTGAATACCCAAAGTAGGAATTAATTGATTAGAAGTATGTTCAGTGTCACATATTTCTATATATTAATTTCAAGTATATTATAAACAATTACATTATTTGCTCTTCGAATAATATCTTGAGTTTCTATAACTATATCACTAGAATTACAATATGTCTTAGTAAAGGTTTCTCATTGATGTATTTTACTACGTAAAGCACGAACTTCAGAAAATAGGTATTCATTTTTNTAAATTAAGATAAATTCAGGGGATACCAATAAAAACATTTGAAAATCGTTGTTTTTGATCAATTTAATGTATTAAATTCAATTTTGAAATCATTAATAATGATAGAAGCCTTTATAATCAATGATTCAATGCCTTTAAAATTATTTTATGAATTAAAATATAAATAAACTTTGTTTAGGTTCGGATTTTGCCAAGCTTAACGAGCTATTACCTCTTAAGAAAGGGTATGACAATCGATACGATCAGTTTTTAAATCCTACAACATTCTCTAGTTTTACAGCAACAGCTTTTCGTGCTCCTCATAGCTATATTCAAGGAACAATTAAGTTAGTCAATTAGTTAAATTCTGAAATGACCGAATTAAAATTGTTAAGTCTAAGAAGTAAAAAATTTTATAAATATGAAATTTCATATTTTACATTTGTATACGTTAAAATTCTAATTTTGTAGAGTTTATAATGACTATAAAATTACAAATTTAATGTTTGATCAATAAAACTTTTAACATTGATTTACTAGAGTATCGTAAAATTGAATTTACACATTTTTAGACTTGACATTTTTAACCAAGCATTACAACATTTTATGATGATATATAAATTTAAAAAAATTGTACTGCGATAGCTTAATGAACGAGTTTAGAAAAACTACAAGCAGTTTACAATTAAGTGATGTTTTCTTCAAATCTGATTTGGTACAAGAAAATGATAACTTCGACAGTATCACTAGGGGAATGATAACTCAACATGCTCAAGGACAAGATCAATTTTTCACGTCACAGGTGAAATTCTATTGATAAATATTTTCAGTAACTTTTCATTCGAATCTTTAATGTATACAAAAGTACCAAAGTACTGCGTTTTATTGATGTCATCAAACGATTATAAATAAGATTGTTTCATTCTTTCATAGATTAGTAATTTATTGTTCAAAAAAACAAACCCACTTGGAGGCTTAGATCTTATTAGTATAGATATATCTAGAGGACGAGATTATGGCGAACCATCTTATAATCAGTTCCGATTGCTGTGTGGACTTCCGTTAGCAAAAACCTTTGATGACCTCCTCGATCAGATCGACCAAGAGGTTAGCCACGTTCGCTTCAATTTAATAATTATTTAATATATAATACAATTAATATATTTTTAATATATGAAAAATATAAGAAGGTGCTTTTTTTTTAGAATGTATCAATACTCGCATCTTTGTACAAAGATGTAAACGACATTGATTTTTACGTGGCTGGTATGGTAGAAAGATTAAAACCGGGTGCTATACTCGGCCATACCTTCCAGTGCGTAGTTGGTGAAATGTTTTATAGGTGGAAATTCGGCGATAGATATTATTACGAATTCAAAAATTCTACAGGAGCCTTTACCCTCAGTAAATAATTATTTATAAAAAGTAAGCTTTATGTTATAAAACGTTTAATATTTTCAGATCAACTAGATCAAATAAGGAAAACAACGTTTGCCCAAATTTTGTGCTTAACATCTGATATTCAAATGATACAGAGCAATCCATTTTTCAATCTCCGCGAAGGGTAAATTATTATTTATTTAACATAATTAGATATAAATTAAATTATTTTTATTACATAGAAATCTATTTCGTTTGTTTTTATCAACATTTTTCAACATCATTTAACTTTTTGAAACTACTTAGTATTAAAAAAATGATATAAAAAACTGATTGAGCATTTATGTAATAAATGCTGTAATAAATGCTGTATTAAATAAATTTAATAATGTCACAAATATTTTATATTATTCGTTAGATACAAATGTAATAAAGGGCATTTTTAATAACTTCTTATATTAATTTGATAATTTCATTATCACTAACACTTCCCTCACTGGATTTATGGTCAATATTTCAGTATTGTATGAATGTATACATTTGATAAATGTATATGTTCAATAAACATTTACGTTCCACGGTTGTTTGCAATTTACTGTAATAATATAAATAAATATTTAAAATTTTTAATTCATAAAATTGATTTTTAATATTAAAATATTTATTTTTTATTAATATATTACTTTTTAATAACAATAATTTTTAATTTAATTCATTTTATGTGAATTTTAAAAATGTACTGCAATTTTTTTTAATAATTCGTAAAATTAAGTAAATAATTTATATAAATAATAAATATTATCTATAATAATTAATTAAATTTTTAGGTATTACTTATATTTATATAAATAAATAACTAAATATATATATAATTAATAATATATGTATAATTTAAACAAAAGTGGCATATGCAAACCAAAATCATATCTTACTATAAACTACGCGCGTGAACTTAAAAAAGAAAATCAAAAATCAACAAAATTCAGGGTATCTTTGGAATGTCTAGTAAAAATTTTAAATCTAAAATAGATATACTCTGGTAGCAATAAGCGTTTCTGATAAAATTTTCAAATTCTCATAGTGTTCAAATTTTTTTTTTTATTTTCGTAAATAATTTTCCTAGAATAACGTCATTTAGCTCTTTTCTTTATAAAGAATCGGACATCGTTGAGTAATTTTTCCAGCATTGGCTAATTTCTCAATCTTTTATTTTATAATAAGATGTAAATAAAAATAAATATTATCTATAAATACTTTTATAAATAAATAATAATAGTGAGCAATAACATTATTTTTTGTACTATAATTTAGCACTGTATTTTCGTAAATTAAGACCGTTATATCTTTCGTGACAATAGAATAAGAAAATTAATAATAAATTAAATTAACTTCAGTTTAAATTAAAATGTTTAGGTGTATGTTTTTATTTTATTCTAATATGAACCTAATATTCTTTTAGTTAAATGACTGTAAGAAGTTTCAGTTCATCCGCGTGTACTCGTAACACGTACTGGTTTATTTTTGTGCCATTGTGACATTACTAATCAAAGCCCCCTCGCCCAAATTTATACATATACAGAGTTATTTTAATATATTTGTTATTGTTTATTCGTTCAGACAAACTGTTTAATTCATAATAACACTCATTCCATATTGTTCACCCAATTATTTTTTCTCCTCAGCATAGCCTAATTGACACAGAAAAAATAACGAATGTATACTGACCTGAATGATAGTCACTGCATATATACTTTTTTTTTGTGTGTTTTTGATATTTTGAATTCAATAAAAATAAAAATGTGTTACAATTTCACTTAGATGTTTTGTCCTTCTTTTAAACATATGTATGCTTAACGTGATATGGGCATTTTATGTTTATTTTTTACTAAACCTTTCCTCTAAGTTGAATAATAGCTTCTCTATATAACTTTATTTTAGATTTCAAATTTTCTATTATTTTATGAATTTACAAAACTGATATTACTATTTTATAATTATCCTTTTTAAGTTTTTATATGAATAACTCATGATTTTTCAACTATAATTAAATTAAATTCAAAATTATAATTTTAATCGATATTTGTTTGTTTCAGAAATCAATTAGTAACTTGTAATTGCTTGAGGAAAATTAATTTTTCGGCGTGGAAAGAATAACATAATATAACTTTAAATGCCTTATATGATAAAAGAACATTACCGTGTAATACAATGTAACATTATTTAGTAACTAATTAAACTATTTGGTATTTAAATAAATTCAACAACTTCTCCTTCTTCCACCTCTCCAATCACGTCCTCGCCTATTGTCACTGGCCTCCTTATTTAATCTACCTTGTGTTTTCCTTTATCAAAATCGTACTCTATATACTCTGTCTTACTCCTACTTATTCTTAAACTCTTTTTTTCAAGAGCTGATCTCCACACCTCTAGTCTTTCATTACTTTCCTCCCTATTTTCTCCTATTAACATTATATCGTCAGCAAACAACTTGCATCACAACACCTCTCCTTGTATTTCTCTAGTAATTTCATCCATCACTACAGAGAATAAGTAAGGGCTTAAAGCAAAATCATGGTGCACTCCTACTCTTACTTGAAAACTTTCTGATATTCCTCCTACGCTTTTTACCATGGTACAAATACCATCATACATATCCTCTATTATATAAATGTACCTTTTAGGGACTCCTTTTCTCATTAATGGCCACTTTAACTTTCCTATTAGTTGCCTCACACAAAATACTGATTTCATTGTTGACTTACCAGGCAAATCCAAACTGGTTTTTAGGTACCGATGTCTCATTTCTTATTCTCTTATCTATTACCTTTTCCCAAATTTTCATACTATGAATTTATTAGCTTTATGTCTCTATAATTTCCACACTTCTGTATGTCTCCTTTACCTGTAATATTGACACTACAATACCATTCCTCCATTCATTTGGTATTTTCCCTTCTAATAAGATTTTATGTAAAAGTTCTTTCAACCACCTTATACCAACACCGCCTAATATTTTCCGTACTTCTACTGGCACTTCATCTGGTCCTACTGCTTTATTCTTTTTCGTTAATGTCACAGCTTCCCATACCTCTTTCACACTAATCAAAACCCTCATTCCACGAGATATCCTCTAATGTCTCTTTTGGGTACTCCTCATTCAGTAATTTTTCAAATTACTCTTTCCACAATTTTTCACATCATCATCACTCGAAAGTACCCTATTATCAGCACTTTTTATACACCTTATATGATGATAATCTTTAGTCCTTTTCTCTCTTACTTTTGCAAGTCTATAGATTTCTTTCTCGCTTTCCTTTGTTCCTAGCCTATCATACCTCTTTAACTTCGGCTTACTTACTGCACATACTACCTTACACACTTGGCTTCTTTGCACAAGCGTTATACTTCATCCAATCTTCTCTCCTTTTGCTTTTCTGCCATACTTTGAATTGCTTTTTCTTACTTTCTATGATTTTTTGAACGTCCTCATCCCACCACCACCAGGTTTCCTTGTTTCCTGGCATTCTACTCCTACACTCATCAAAAATCTCCTTTGCAGTATTCTTTACACAATTACCAAATCTATTCCACACATCATTTATGTCTCCCTCGACATTCCACACCGTCCTCTCTTTTACCGTCTTTACAAACTCTTTCATTTTCCCTTTTCAATTTCCACCACCGGATCTTCGATTTTTCCCCGTATTCCTTCTATTTTTGTATATTCTCTTTTCGGTACACCACTACTCTATTACCATCAATCTATGTTGTTTAGTTACATTCACGCCTGGTATTACTTTACAATATTTTACTCGCTTTACGCTCTCTCTCTTCCACATAAAATAATCAATCTGTGATCTATGCCTCCCACTCTTATAGGTTATAAAATGTTCTTTCCTCTTTCTAAAATAAGTACTAACCACAGCAAGATCATACGATACTGCGAAATCCAGGATTCGATCTCCAGCCTCATTCTTCCAACTAAAACCATACCCTCCATGTATTCTTTCATATCTTCTCCTCTCATTATTTACATGTCCAACCTATCACCGCATCATCATTGCCAGATACCCCTTGCATCACCTTATCCATCTCTCTCCAAAACACCTTGTCTATTTCATCACATCCCCACTTTTGGTGCATAGGCACTTATTACATTCAACACTTTTTCCTCGAATATCAATTCCACGACTATAATTCTGTCACTTTTCCTAGCTACATCTACAACTTTACTCTTCATTTTCTCATCCATTATTATCCCTACACCATTCTTTGTACTACATTTCCCTGAGTATATTATTTTATAACCCTCAACTACTTCCCTTGATTTCTGTCCTTACCACTTAGTATCCTGTACAGAACAAATGTTAATTTTTCTCCTCTTCAATACTCTTACTAATTCTCTACTTCTACAATTTAATGTTCCAACATTCCAAGTACTTATTCTTACTTTGTATTTATCTTTCTCCCTTATACACGAGTACAGCCTAGAGTTAAGTGGTGATGTCCCTACACCGCTGACACTACAGGCGTTGGGTAGACCTGGGTGAAACAACTATCGCACAATTTGTCCGGCTAATATTAAACACTTTATTCCTTAGGCTTTCTCCGTTTTTAACTACTTTCTGTTGTCCCCGCGTACATCCGAGATGGGACAATCTGCCTAAGTTTTGTTCAGGATTCCTCATACTTTTTTGACAATAATTTTTACGTCGGCTGTCAACCTGACGCAACCTCATTAGTCGCCTCTTACGACTCGCAGAGGGGCCGTGGAAGTATTCTTAGCCCCTATCCATAGGGAAAAAATAAATTCAACAACTACGAATAAATAATATTTATTATTATATAATAAATATAATTTTTAATATTAATTATGTAAAAACTATACGAGTTATGTATTTATAATAAGATTGCTCAATAGTTTTTTTTTAGTTTTAGTTATTATCGAGGTGGACATGCACTCAGACCTGTTGGTCCATTGTGCGCACCTCATACCGAATTGTCTTGATTCGGTTTACTCACCTAAGTGTTATCACCAAAGTGTTAATACATTACCAACCATAAAGTAACCTCTAAAGATGACCAAAGGGTCCTGTCTTTCTGGCGAAAGTAAGTATCTCTCTGGTTGGGTTTTAGGTTTTTAATATCTTCTTTTTCAAGAAAAGGTTTATTCAAGTAGTTTGA